TCTCTCTCTCTCTCTCTCTCTCTCTCTCTCTCTCTCTCTCTCTCTCTCTCTCTCTCTCTCTCTCTCTCTCTCAATAATTTCTACTTTTTCCCCGAGGTTCTATTTACGATACTCATATTGACAAGCCTGTTTTCATAATGATCTTGGTCCAGAATTCTGTGAATGCGCGTTACCAAACAATACATTACCCGTGGTTGGTTTTTGGCGAGAAGGTGAAAGTAAATACCGTGTTCATACGCGATTCAACTGGAGTATCTGATTCTATTTTAATCCTCTTTGGTGGTAAACTCGAAGACAATACCGTGGTAAATCTTTTACCTAGACAATCTCCAACTTCCTGTGTCTTCCCCATTCAATGCACACATATTTTAATTTTCACTTATATTTTTTCAGGCAGGACATTTGAAAATGTTGGGAGGATACATCGAATTCTTCATGAATCCAAGTTTGGCCGAGTGCTACGTGAAGCTTAAGGACGAGTTAGAAAAGCTCTTGCAAAAGAAGGTAAGTTTGATAATCCCTTTTACATTTTTCATATTTCTTTAATTACTCACTGGAAAAGCACTTGTCCCTTGTACATTTCACATATATTTCTTTAGTTACTCACTTTTTTCATGGATTGCATTTCGTGCGAACCGTAGCCTCTATTAACCCGAAATTGAAAAATGTTCCTTTTTTGGGAAATTGGGAAAAATGCAGCTTCAATATCCAAGCATCGACATCCACAAGGAAGGCAAGTACATCATGCTTGCCGTTCAAGAACTCGTCTCGGGAGACCAGTGTGAAGGCAGATTTGTTTTTGGCCGCGAAAGCAAGAAACAAAGGGAGCCCGGGGACAAAAAGGACCGATTCACGAAAGACGGTACAAACCCGAAGAGCTTGCTCCAGACGCTGTTGATGAGAGCCGGCCATTCCCCACCTAAGTACAAAACAAAGCACCTCAAGACAAACGAGTTTAGGGCTTTGGTGGAATTTAAGGGCATGCAGTTTGTGGGGAAGCCGAAGAAAAATAAGGCCCTGGCTGAGAAAGATGCGGCTATAGAGGCTCTGGCATGGTTGACTCACACGTCCGAGAATACTCAGCATGAAGATGACAATACAACGCCAGATGTCACGGACAACATGCTCAAACTTCTCGGCAGGCGGAGGAGGTCGAAACGGAATCCTCATTAAGGGTTGACTTGCGTGGTTGGCTTTGGCAAAACGAGCGAGAGTCGTGTAATCCACATTTTCCTCATGTGTAGATATGGATATTTCCGTTGGAGACAGCAGAAGTTTTGTTCTTGAGATCTCACTTTAGAAGTTAGAAGCCTTGTTTACTCTCAGAATATATTGTGTTGTTAATCTATTTGTTGTTTGGATTGCCCACATGTATATGGGTTTTGGTTAATATTGAAACAATTATTCGATGTCATAGGCCAAGAGAATTAATATTATTTAGTATTACTTTCGGATGGCTAATGGCTTCATATTGGGCATTGCAATAAAGATCGGTCATTTATATCACTTAAAAATCAGCAGCTATGCCATTTGATTATTTTTTGGTGTGATAGTAATATCACAACATTAGACCTTTGGCAATTTTAACTGAACTTTTGAATATTAGCAAAAACGACACAACCTTGTCTAGAAATTACAACTCGAATCTAAGATGTAATTGATAACATCACAACAAACAACTTAATTTATAACGGTACTTTTTGTTAGTTTTGTCTAGAAATTATAACTCGAATCTAAGATGTAATTGATAACATCACAACAAACAACTTAATTTATAGCGGTATTTTTTGGTATAACTAACGGTAATATCACAATGTTGGACCTTTTGGCAATTTTAACTGAACTTTTAAATATTAGCAAACAAATACACAACCTTGTCTAGAAATTACAACCTGAACCTATCAGATAATTGATAACATCACAACAAACAACTTAATTTATCTATGGCCTAATTGTCGGTAAAACCACGACCTTACAATTTTTTGCCGTTTTAACCAAACTTTTGGAATTTGGCAAACATAGCACCACCTTGTCAATTTTTGGCAATTCGAAGCACATGGCCTAATTTCGGGCCTTCTCTGCTGGTGTGGCTGCTGACGTGACAATTTATGCTGATGTGGCGCTTCTATGCTGAAATGGTTACTGAGTGCGTATTTCGGGCCTTCTCTGCTGGTGTAACTACTACACCACTCCAAGTTGTGTGTCAAATTTAGTAGCGCTTAATATATATAGACACTAGGTATGAATAAATCAAATTAAATTTAAAAGTATATATAAATTTTCAATTATAATAATAAGATATAAACTTATAATAAGTAAAATATTATAACATAAATTATATAATATAAAAAAATAAACTAAAATAAAAGAATAAGAATTGTCATAGTAGAGTGCATTTAAATTAAATTAAATTTAAATAAATTTAAACAAAATAAAAATAATATGATATAAGATAATAAAGTATAAAAAAAGTAAAAGTAAAATAAATAAAATCAAATGATAAATCAATTAATATAATAAAGAGAAATAAATAGAAATCTTAATGAATATAATAAAATAAAGAAATATTATTTGAGATTATTCTAATTAATAGTTTATTAAATTATTATATTATAATATAAATAATTTATTAACTTCCTATATTCAAATAATAATAATTTAATATTTTTATTTATTTTAGCTTATTATTTAATATAATTTATTATATTATTTTATTTATTTTACTTTGCCATTTTTATTATATTATCTTATCTTTTATTATTTTTATTTTATTTTAACCGGTGTACTTTAATATATTTTATTTATTAATTTAATTTTATCATTATTATTTTTCATTTCCAAATTTATATAATCAATTTATTTTAATGAATAAGAAATATATAAATTTATTTATATTTTATATATAAATTCACTCTACTATAATAAATTTTATCTTACTTTATTTTAGTTTATTTTTTAATTCAAAATTATATAATTTATTTTATTATATTTTAATTTTATAAATTTATATCTTATTATTATAATTTAAAATTTATATTTACTTTTAAATTTAATTTGATTTATTCATACCTAGTGTCTATATATATTAAGCGCAATTAAATTTAACACACAACTTAGAGAAATGTAGTGGTTATAATGCTAACATACAACTTGGAGGTCCCAAGTTCGAACCCATGCGTTGCTTAAATTTTTTATTTCCACTCAGCAACCATTTCAACATAGAAGCGCCACGCCAGCATAAATTGCCACGTCAGCAGCCACACCAGCAGAGAAGGCCCGAAATTAGGCCCTGTGCTTCGAATTGCCAAAAATTGACAAGGTGGTGCTATGTTTGCCAAATTACAAAAGTTTAGTTAAAACGACAAAAAGTTGTAAGGTCGTGATTTTACCGGCAATTAGGCTTTTATCTATATATATAATTTGGAGCAACTGCATTTAGTTTTATTATAAGCAACATTAAATTGACGTCAAGAAACAAAGTATAATCATACAGTTACAAAATTATAAATTACCCAATACTTCTTTATGTTTCATGTTCTTTTGGTTCGTAAAAGTTAATTGGCAATATTGTCACATTATTATTTATAATCTTTTCATGTTATAATAATAAAAACAAGAATCAATATAATACTAACCATGATAATCAATAAAACTAAATGAAAACGGTTTGAACAATCATATTAACTTAATATAATCCAGAGCAATAGAAAATTGTGTCATATATCAATACCAAACATAAATTAATATAGTGAATAAAGAAAGAATTTGTGCGCTAGGAAATAAAAATTTGTTTCTTTAAAAAAGCACAAATCACATATAAAAATTATACATTCAAGTATAATTATTTTTACCATCCTCTTTCTTTTCTTCAACTTCTGAACTTTTCCCATTTTAATCGTGAAATTTGCATTAAAAAAAACATAAGTTTGTAGACATTAAATAAATCGTGGCACTTATGAATAATTCAACCAATTTTTTCTTTTTTTTTTGCATTTTTTTTTAAAGTTACCTCAAAGTCATGTAAAATAAGGCAAAAGACCACTTTGTTTAATTCATGTTGACATCTCTCTTAGTAGTAGGGAAGACATTGATTGATTACCAAATAAATTCAAGTATATGTACCATAATATATGTTGCAGAATTGTTGTGAAATTAAAGTATCGCATATAGCCTATTTATTTATACTTTATAATAACTAGGATTGATAGCATCACTGTATAGTGGAAGTGGTAGTTGTGCAGGTTGCCCACTAAATTACCAGGTCCTTACCCCACTGCAAAATTTCTATTAATTTAATTAAATACAAATTAATGAATTCATGCAACTAAACTAATTGACTTTTTTTTTCTCACTAAAACAAATTATCTTACTTATATATATAATCAAATAGATTAAGGAATACGTACTAATATCCTGATTGAACTATTTTATTTTTGTAAAAAATTAATGAAAATGCTACATATCTTATCGCCCATTAAAACATATCATGACAAAAAATTGAGTTTAATTGATATAAATTAATTAATTCATACTGCAAGCTCGGATACGATATATAAATGAATTAATCGTAAAATATTTAATTAGTTGAATGTATATTAATTAATTCATACTGCATGCCCTACTAAAAAAATAGATTCAAAATAAAAAAAATACATTATAATAATCTCATACCTCATTTTATTTTATTTTTTTCTCCAGGATATACATTATTCAAATGGAAGACCATAATTTTTATTCAACCGTATGGAATAACTCTATTGAAAGTTGATAAATCATTATTTTTTAACATAAAATAAATATTTTGGTTGTAATAACTACTAATAGAGTATCTCTAACTGTTTTTAAATAATTAATTTAGATTATTTTTGTTGGAGACACAGTTCTTAAATATTTAAAATTTTACATTTTTTAAAAGAAGAAAAATGAATTTAACACAAGCTAGAATTAAAATTTTAGATCAATTTTATGAAAAAAAAATATATAAATTGAAAAAAAAAAAGAAAAACAGATTGAAGAAAAAAAAATTAATCAACACATCTCCATATAAAAAGTTATTTCTTTATATTAATAATAAATTTATTTGTTAATTGTATAGATGCAATAGAATATTTATGCCGTATCACCTTTTTTGGGAAAAAAATAAATTTAACCTAATATTTTATATAAGTCTCATCATATTTTTTATGAAGGGTTTAAATTTAACGTAATATTTAATGTACATTATAATTAACTCATTGCAATTCATTTTATACTTATCAAAATAAATGAAAATAGTTTGAAATTAAAA